CATTCCTCTAGACTTCGTCAGCCTCCTGCAAAAAAAAAAAAAAACAAACAAAACAATAAATTGGCAGGGGTATATGCCGCGGTTTTCAGCATAACCGCGGCATCTAGCCTGTTATTTAAGTTTTTTTTCAGACATGGGCGTCAAAAGGGATGGTTGACTGCGTATATGGCCGCGGTTCCCCTCGAACTGCCGGGCATATCTCTTCCTTCGATTTATTAAAAACTGGCGCACCCGCTGCACCATTATCTGGTGCGGTTTCTAGTGAACCGTGGCATAATGTGCGCTGTAAAAAACCCAATTTTTTACTAGTGATAAAATCAATTTTTTTGTAAGATTGTTTAACAGGCAGTGTTTTTTATTTTTTCAATTAGGACTACAGTAGGGATGACAGAAAAAGATTGGAGTGAGAAAGATGAAAGAGAAGGGTTGAAGAGAATGACTAGAGGTGAGTTAGTTTTTGGGGTTTCTTTTTTTTATTTTTGTAGAATGAAATTATTAAAATACTTTTAACCTTAAACATAGAATCCATGATATAAATAAGATATTTTTGTCTACTTTGGCTAAATGTACCAACTGAAAAATAATAGACGTTAACAACCCCTATATATATATAATATTTACGTCTGTCTGTTATATATGTATTAAAATAAACTTACGTTTTACTAAGTCAGGCATAAAAAAACTAAAATATCAAACATAAACCACTTTTTTGTATTTGTGATAATAACACTTTTAAAGCATGTCATCATATAATTGAAGAAAAAAAAGTTAAAATTATCATTGACCAACAATAGTCATAACTTATAGGGAACATCATCATTTATATCATTTTCTTTTTCTATCTGCTATCGCTTATATAATTAATTCATTATTTTGTTTTGTTGTATTGATTAAATATATAAATAGAATTGATTCATTTAGAATAATTGAGTTATTATAAACATTTTTGCAATAAGTGCGAACAATGCTCATAATATGTGGTAAGGTTAGTATTTTTGTCGCTTTTCAACATCTTGTTGAAGTCGCGTTTCGTAATTGATTCGACATCTATGTTTTCTACGAGGAAAGTTATAAATGGTATTAATTCTCCAATTAATCACGAATCTGAGAATAATTTTGTCTATCAAATGGTCTTTTCAAAATACATTGAGTTTTTCATTCTTTGGTGGATTATGAGAAATTAATTACAATATTACTATTTATTCAAGAGGGAAAAACAAGATTATATAAATTAACTAATCATTTTTAACCAAAACACTAAATTTTCCACAAAATAGATATTGAAACATTTTTCTTAAAGTAGAGACTAAAACTTTCAATTAATACTTTTTTTCTTATTTCAAATGACACCCACTATAATTTTATGTATTGCCAATAAACAGTAACCACCGCTTGCTGAAAGAAATCATGTTAAGAATGCAAAAGGGCATAAATACCTGGAACAGGGGCGGCGAAAAAGCTTGGTGCAACAAAGGGGAATGGCAGCGGAGAGGAATGACAGGCGTTTCAAACGATTTTGATCGGCTAAAACTGTTTCTTATCGTCAAAAATGGGAAATGACCGAACAATTTTGAGTTTAAACGGTGAAGAAACGAGGGAACTGAGATGGGTGGTCGGCGGGAGAAGAAAACTCGAAGTCCAGCGAGCGTCTGCGCGAACAAGACGATATGGTTCCAAAGTTTTATTTTTTAACTCTGACTGGGGAATCTACCGCGGTTCACTACTTAACCGCGGTATAAGATGGCCTTTTTGAAATTATTGTTAAACTATATGCCGCGATTCGGCGGGCAACCGCGGTATATTCCTCTAAATATTTCAAATTCATTTTAAATTTATTTCAGGTAGGAGAATAGGTTGCGGTTACTCTGAGAACCGCGGCATATACCCCTGTAACTTCTGAAATTCTCTGACTCAGTCAGCCCCTGCAATAAATTGGCAGGGGTATATGCCGCGGTTTTCAGATAACCGCGGCATATACGCTGTTATTTAATTTTTTTTTCAGACATGGCGTCAAAAGGGATGGTTGACTGGCGTATATGCCGCGGTTCCCCTCTGAACTGCGGCATATTCCTTCGATTTATTTACAAAACTGCCACCGCGCACCATTATGCTGCGGTTTCTAGTGAACCGTGGCATAATGTGCGCTGTAAAAACCCAATTTTTTACTAGTGATAAAATCATTTTTTTGTAAGATTGTTTAACGGCAAGTGTTTTTTATTTTTTCAATTAGGTCTACAGTAGGGATGACAGAAAAAAGATTGGAGTGAGAAAGATGAAAGAGAAAGGGTTGAGAGGAATGAGAGAGGTGAGTAAGGGTTTGGGGGTTTCTTTTTTTTTAGTTTTGAGAATGAAAATTATTAAAATACTTTTAACCTTAAACATAGAATCCATGATATATAAAGATATTTTTGTCTACTTTGCTAAAATGTACCAACTGAAAAATAATAGACGTTAACAAACCCATATATATATATAATATTTACGTCTGTCTGTTATATATGTATTAAAATAAACTTACGTTTTACTAAGTCAGGCATAAAAAAACTAAAATATCAAACATAAACCACTTTTTTGTATTTGTGATAATAACACTTTTAAAGCATGTCATCATATAATTGAAGAAAAAAAAGTTAAAATTATCATTGACCAACAATAGTCATAACTTATAGGGAACATCATCATTTATATCATTTTCTTTTTCTATCTGCTATCGCTTATATAATTAATTCATTATTTTGTTTTGTTGTATTGATTAAATATATAAATAGAATTGATTCATTTAGAATAATTGAGTTATTATAAACATTTTTGCAATAAGTGCGAACAATGCTCATAATATGTGGTAAGGTTAGTATTTTTGTCGCTTTTCAACATCTTGTTGAAGTCGCGTTTCGTAATTGATTCGACATCTATGTTTTCTACGAGGAAAGTTATAAATGGTATTAATTCTCCAATTAATCACGAATCTGAGAATAATTTTGTCTATCAAATGGTCTTTTCAAAATACATTGAGTTTTTCATTCTTTGGTGGATTATGAGAAATTAATTACAATATTACTATTTATTCAAGAGGGAAAAACAAGATTATATAAATTAACTAATCATTTTTAACCAAAACACTAAATTTTCCACAAAATAGATATTGAAACATTTTTCTTAAAGTAGAGACTAAAACTTTCAATTAATACTTTTTTTCTTATTTCAAATTGACACCCACTATAATTTTATGTATTGCCAATAAACAGTAACCGCTGCTGAAGTAATATGGTGTTTTGGGAATCGTAACCTTGAAATACATAAAGTGTTGAAGATAACAACAATATGAAATTATTGAAAGAGACTATTAATATACTATTCTTCCCTAAAAGTGTTTATAAAATAAGTTGTTTGGAAATTCTTTAACCTTAATTTATAATTATTCATCCCACTTTCTTTCATTAAATAAATATACTTGAAGCATGGCTTAAAGAAGTCTATACTCATGAGTAAACTAAATTTAATCATTTATTTAAGAAGTGGAGAAAAGTGTAAATGCACATCCTCATGAAAGTTTACTCAAACAACAGAAATGAAAAGAAAGAGAACAAAAACTTTGAGGGGGCATACATTTGATTTTTCTACTAAAAGTGGAGAATTTTTCAAATGTATATTATATGAATTCATTCAATTGTAACATATAAAATTACGTAAAAAGAAAGTTAACATATACAACCACCAATAATTGGTGAACATGTACAATCTAACAATCATCAAATTCAATCTCGTATAGAAACTTCATTAAAATCAGTGTCGGTAAAAACAATAAAAGAATGATCGTCGTTGTTGCGTAATTGCGACAGAGGATGTTAGGGTTCATCATCTCCATGTTAGGGCTCTTCACAGCAACGTGAGCGACATGCAAGGAAGGCATCAGGGTTTCTTTTCTTCACAACTCGAGATAAAAGTGAGTGTGTGGCTGAGTAACTCAGTTTCACAGGAAAAGATAAGTTTTATATTTGAGTTTCGTAGTACCTCGGTTCACCCAAGATTCACTCAGTAAAATGTTAAAAATCTTTGGCATTACCTCATTCAAATTTGAAGTGGGCCACAACCTCACTTTGACGGCTGTGCATAGAATAGTACAAAACTATAATTTTGTGGCATATTGGTCATTTAGATTCCTTAAATAATATTGGCAAAGTTGGTCATAATGGAGAGCCACAATGATGCTGTCCTTATATTCATCACTAGTAAGCAAGAAGAAGTAACCAAGAAACTGCGTTCTGTCTTCTTGCTTCACAGAACTGCATGCGCCTTCTTTTTTTCTCAGAACCTTCGTTTTTTTCTTCTTCCCTTCAATTTTTTATTCTGGGCACTTTCCGGGCATGGAGATGAGTGGTAGTAGCAGCAGCAAGAAGAGGAAGCTAATTTGCCGCGAAGAGGACGAGGAGGCCCAAATGGAGACGTTCTTCGCTTTGGTGAGAAACATCCGCGAGACACGTGATCGATGGATGGGTTTGAAGTCGGGTGACAGAAGGAGCAAGAGGGGTGAGATTATGAGGAAGGAAGAAAATAATATGGTTGGGGTTTGGAAGCCAACGTTTCAGGTTGAGGATTTCGCTGATGAGGAAGCTCGGCAACGAAAATCAGCTTCAGACCCTAGTGCTTCTCAGAGGGAAGACTGTGAAAAGAAAGAGGCTGCAGAAAAGGGTATTGATCTGAGTCTTTCGCTTTGAGAACTGACCCAACCAGCACTTGTGTTCTCTTCATGTGACCATGGCTAGGTCTAGCTGCTCAATCTGTAGTCGGAAACCTATAAAGGGCTGTCTTATCTCTCTAACCTGATTTTGTAGATTTTTGCTTAGTTAATGTGGTTTTTGCTTTTAAGGCTTGTAAGTTGTAAGTCTCTCCTCTACTGTATTTCCAACTTCAGCTACTGAAATAATAATAATTGTGCCTTTTCACTTCCATCGATGGCCGTGCTAGGAAAACAGGAGGAAGGAGATAAGTTATAATATAAATTTATAATATTTTAGAGGTTTAATTTCCTTATATATTTTATTATTTTTAGTTAAGTTTTTATCAAAAGAATTTTACCAATTGGATACTAAAATCTTTTATAATTTTTAATTAAATTTTTACCACTTGATTTAATAATGTGATTTGTAACGTTCCAGCAACTTACAGGGGATATTGATTGTCCCCACACATCACCACCACCAGACTTTTCTGGAGTTCTTATGAGTTAGGGTACCGAAAAACAAATGCATTTGGTGATATAAGTAGCCAAATCAATCCCTTTAAGCTATCATTCAATTGTATAGTCTCATACCTACACAGTCTCTAAATCCCTTTCATTCCGGTGTATGTTCGATTCATCCATGTGTCCCTTCCACTGGAAGCCTGTCAGGAGCCGCTCCTTGTCTGTGCCCCTTGCACTTCGTGCCTCTTGCACCGGCGATCACTCCCCGTCCTCGTCAATGCCCGGGTGTCACATGCCCACCAGCTTCCGCTTGGTTCGTCCTCGAACCACACCGTACTGGGAGAGGCTAGGCTCTGATACCACTTTAAACCATGACTCAACCACTCACACGACTCATCCGTATTAGTATAACTGTCGAACTATTGGTCGTCTTTGCACTTGCGTAGTTCAGCTGGCACTCCCCAATACTATGCAAGGTAAATCCCCATCTGTGTATGTCTAAACTTTAAGACTATAGACGAGAACCTCCCTCTACTCTCACCACTTACACTGCTCTCCTCTATTTGAGCATGAACAGTGCTTCGAGTGTAGGGATAGACATACCAGTTCAAAGCTCCTATACAGAACAGCCACAACACCCCACACATCACTTTCAATCATCTCACCCTGAGATGTCCACTTCATACTCAATTACATCACTGTAGTTCACATTCATATGCTTTACAACCACTCAACAACACCATACATACATCCTGGCACTCAAACAACATCAATCAATCCAAACAGAAGAAGAAAAATGAGTGAGATCTCCTCCATGCACCAGTTTACGTTCATATATATATATATATATATATATAATATCATGGTTCTTATTTGGTAAACTACTTGTCTAATTTTCATCATAGTAGAGATCTTACTTTTCCCCAATTGGTCACCGAAGAGGGTTCAGATGTCTGAACGCATCAGACTCACCTTCGGCGCTAGCACATATGACTAGTCACAACGTACTGGACTAGACCAGGGCTGCTCTATGATCAGGGATGTGCCAACTCAGGTTTTTAAGTCCCCTCTATCCTACCAACAAAAAAGGCTTTTAACAAGTTATGATTTAATTATCTAAGTTATTAAAACTGTCCTATAGTGTTCTAGACATCAAATACCCAATTATATATATCACCCTTCCCCTCACACTAACTACATGCTATCACAGAGCCCTTACTCCAAACCCTCACACCAGAACAATTTCAACCAAAACAGATTAATTTCAACAGAGACACTTACAAACATAATTGCCACATGTACCAGTTCAACACCAAAGCATAAATTATTTAAGCACAATTCCATAGTCTCAATTATAATTATCCAATAAAAATTAACATCGTAGAACAACTTCACAAGAACACACCAGTTCAACATTCAACCTGCATATATTTGTATCAAATAAAGTCATACAAAAATAATTAGCTCCCTTCACAGTTTACTTGACAGGGATGATCTAAATAGTGCTTCTCACAACAAAATTCAAAGACACCCTATAAATCACCCAATGGTGATAGAATTAGCTTTTTAGGCTAGAAATTACCACAAATTTGAAGTAGAACACTTCTAGTGGCATGCATTAAGTAAAATAACAATGCCCTAGGTGATAGAAACGGTGGAGTAAAGGAGAAAATGACTTACCTGTTGGAACAAGAACTCATTCGGTCCGTTACGGAGCCCTTGACGCGGTAAACGTTTGAGCACCACCTATTCAAAAATTGAACGGTTCAACAGGATGATATTTTAGGAAGAAAGCTAGAAGATGAGTTTTAGAGAGAAGAAAAAAATTGACAGAGTGAAAAGCTGACTTAGGAGAAAGACCTTGCTAAGGTCATATGCCTTTGATCTGATAGGTCTAGATGTCCCACATAAGGTCCAAAGGTCCCTTTATTAATTTTACAAGCCCTTAGAATATTCACACTCAAATGATTTATATGCATCAACTTATGCACATAAAAGCTGTATGCAAAATAAATTTTAAAAAAGGAATATAATCCATGCGCATGAGTATATGAAATTAACTTGAATAAAACAGTGTGGTCAAAACATTGTTATTATAATAAGGATGATTCTGTTTAAACTTAAAACAAGTGTTTTCGAAATAAACACTTACTAACATAATCACCAATTTAAGAAATAAAAAGGATTATTTTTTGAAATAAAATAAAACAATTATTTACTTTTAAAATAAATAAACTAAACAAATACATAAAAAACACAAATGTACTTATATTAATAAATAAGCTCTTGCTTAAAAGATAACACAGATAAACCAATCCAATATTGCATTACACACCGTCAATACAGTACACAAGTACAGAAAAATTGAGGAAAATTCGAGCAGTCAAACTAAACTAAGATATTAAATGAATAATAACTTAGAAATATTTGGTAGTAATGTAATATTATCTTGACACATTAAAATGAGACGAAACACTGTGCGCAGAAAATATATCAATTGATTAACGAAAAAAAAACGAAAACATTTGAATGTTTTACTACAACTTTGGTAAACATGAACTGAAAAATATAACGCTTTGGTATAAAAATAGTTATGCAAAAAATATTTTGATTAAACTATTAACTTCCATATGATCGAATGACTTTTGTCACCTCACCGATGCACTTGTTATTTTGATCCCANACCACCACCAGACTTTTCTGGAGTTCTTATGAGTTAGGGTACCGAAAAACAAATGCATTTGGTGATATAAGTAGCCAAATCAATCCCTTTAAGCTATCATTCAATTGTATAGTCTCATACCTACACAGTCTCTAAATCCCTTTCATTCCGGTGTATGTTCGATTCATCCATGTGTCCCTTCCACTGGAAGCCTGTCAGGAGCCGCTCCTTGTCTGTGCCCCTTGCACTTCGTGCCTCTTGCACCGGCGATCACTCCCCGTCCTCGTCAATGCCCGGGTGTCACATGCCCACCAGCTTCCGCTTGGTTCGCCTCGAACCACACCGTACTGGGGGAGGGCTAGGCTCTGATACCACTTTAAAACTTACTCAACCACTCACACGACTCATTCCGGATTGGTATAACGGTCAAAATATTGGCGTCTTTGCACTTGCGTAGTTCAGGCTGGCCACTCCCCAATACTATGCAAGGTAAATCCCATCTGTCTATGTCTCAACTTTAAGACTATAGACGAGAACATCCCTCTACTCTCACCACTTACACTGCTCTCTCTATTTGAGCATGAAAGTGCTTGAGTGTAGGGATAGGACATACCAGTTCAAGCTCCTATACAGAACAAACCCAAAACACCCCACCACCATCACTTTCAATTCATCTCACCCTGAGATGTCCACTTCATTACTCAATTACATCTTGTAGTTCACATTCATATGCTTTACAACCACTTAAACAACACCCATACATTACATCCGGCCACTCAAACAACATCAATCAATCAAACAGAGAGAAAAAGGAGGGGAGAGAAAAGAAAGGAAACCGGGGAGGGAAGAGAGATAGGGAGAGAAAGGAAAAGAGGAGAGAGAGACAGACATGAGAGAGAGAGAGAGACAGGACTAGAGGAGAGAGAGAGAGAGAGGAACAGACAGAGGAGAGAGAGAGAGACAGACAGAGAAGGAGAGAGGAGACCAGAAAGAGAGAGGAGAAGAGACAGACAGAAGAGAGAGAGAGACAGGTAAAAAAACAGACCGAGAGAGAGAGAGAGAGAGACAGACAGAGAGAGAGAGAGAGACGACAGAGATATCATAATATAACATAAAACATATATATATATACATAAATAAATATATATATATATACATACATACATATATAGATATAGAATATATATATACATATATATATATATATACATATTATATATATATATACATACATATATCTATATATATATACTACATATATAATATAATTATAATACATATATATAATATATACATACATATATATATATATATATATATATATATATATATATCATGGTTCTTATTTGGTAAACTACTTGTCTAATTTTCATCATAGTAGAGATCTTACTTTTCCCCCAATTGGTCACCTGAGAGGGTTTAGATGTCTGAACGCATCAGACTCACAGCACATGTGACTAGTCACAACGTAGTGGACCAGGTCAGGGCTGCCCTATGATGAGGGATGTGCCAACTCAGGTTTTTAAGTCCCCTCTATCCTACCAACAAAGAAAGGTTTTTAACAAGTTATGATTTAATTATCTAAGTTATTAAAATTGTCCTTGTTCTAGATATCAAATATCCAATTATATATATCATCCTTCCGCTCACATTAACCTTAAATAGTACATGCCCACGTAAGTTCCAAAGGCCCTTTATCAATTTTACATACTCACATTATTGTTATATTCTATTGTTATATTATCTATTAGTACAATATATATGAGATTTTGTGATTAATATAAAATAATAACTTATTTTTATTAAAAATATATTGAATCATTAAAATAGTACGGTATTAAGGGGGATAAGTTCTTAATAATTGTAAGGTTATAATATAGAAAAAATCATTTGCTAGGCATAACCCCATTTTCGTATCCCCTACACATTATTTATTGTATTTCTTAAATATAAAAATAAGCTAGATAACGGATCAAAATAACAATCACACTTGATTAATAGAAAAAATAAAAAGATAAATACCAATTGAAAAATAAAAAAAAGTTTAATACTTAACAAAAACAAATAATAGTAGAAACTTGATTAAAAATACTTAAATCTAATAGGAAAAACTTAATTAA